AGGCAGTAAGCTTTTTATTTGTGGGAAAACTCTACAACCAGCTATTATGTGCTGCTTGGCACAGAATACAAAGGTCATGATATCACTGTCTTGGCAATTCTGGTGAAACGTCTACCCTGTATCATTCATGTCTCTGGCCCATCTTCCAGTTCAAACAATTCAGAGACTGTGCAGCAAATTAGACAGCACCAAGAGGACACAAGCAGACAAAGTGGGATCATGAGTCCATGACACCTGGTCTGGACTTTTATATGAGACATAGCAAGCAAAAGCACAGTCTGAGCTTAATTGGACCATGGCGTGGAGAGGCTTGGGGAACAACTATAACACATCTTTTAGGGACAACTGGGGAAATTAAATGTAGACTGCATATTAGATGATATGATGGAATAATTATTTTCTCAAGTTGATGAATGGCATTGTAGTTACTTAGAGACTCATCCCAAGGACATTTTTGAGTGGAACAGCATGCTATCTGCAACTTTATTTCCAACTGGTTTGCAAAGACTAAAACAAACACAAGAACTCCTCAGGGATGAAAAAACATGGGGAATTTTTCAATCTCCCTAATAACTTCTCTGCACTCTGACCATATGGGTTCAAAGTCCCCAAATGTAAGACCGGCCCTCAGGGAGTACACCACTTATGCAAGACCGCACTCCCCACTAACCCCCTACATATATACTTTACACTGCCACACACACCCCATGGCCACAAGAAGCTAATAAGATAGAAAGCAAGAGACTTTCTCCTATGAGCAGTGACTAATCAGAAACCAGATACTTAAACTACTGTCAGTGGCTCTCAGCAAAGGAATCTGCTATGTGCTTAAGCAGGTTTGTGTCTGACCACAAGGGGTCCCTTTGGTAGCCCATACCCTCACTCTGACAGTATTGGGGATGACAGAGCAGGCTTGAGGGGTCCTCTAATGGGGTTCTCCTCTAGCCACATCTATGAGAAAAATCAGTGAGGCAGAGAAGCACAGAGTTTCAGAGAACCTTCCTCCACATGGAGGAAGGGTATCTTCGAAGAGGTGGGGGCCCCTAGCCATGACTACTGTAGGCTGATGGCTATGGGTTAGGGAGAATCTGAATAACCCTATCCTGACAAAAGAAAGATCTTAAAAGGTCTGGTACCAGCTCTTAGAACAAGCTCAAGGGGAAACTAAAACTGACAAGCAAGTATCAGAAGGAGCACTGTTGCGTCTCCATCAAAGGAGCCGAGCAATGAAGACGAAAGTGCAGGGCGAGGCACTGCGGAGAAGAAGGGATGACGGGAAGAGGTGCCCTGGAAATCAGCTCACCCATGCTCTAGGGAGTAAGCCTCACAACCCCCTCTGGAAAAGATGGTGGTCCCTAGAAACAAGGAAGATACTCTCAGGCAGCAAAGCAAGGAAGGAAGACCCAGCCATGGAGGGTGCATCAGCTCAGGGACAGCACACACACCAAGGGGGAGCACTCTGGGTTCAGTCTTAGTTCTGCCAAAGGGAAGCACACTGAGCCTTAGGTCTGAAAAGGGACATATCTATTTTAGCATCTTTGTTTCTCAAAGATCCATTTTGGTTTTCTTTCTTTTTTGGAAACCGCCCTCATTATGCAGCACTGGCTGCCCTAGAACTCTCTCTATAGAGCAGGTTAGCCTCAAACTCAAAGTGATCCATCTGCCTCTGCCTCCGAAGAGCTGGAACTAAAAGCATCCGAAACCAACACCTTTCCTGAATTCTATTTTTATGGAACAGTATAGGTTTTCAAGGCTGCAATAACGAAGTGGGGAGGACCTAGCCACAGACCACTCCTCCTTCCCTGTCTAGCTTCCTCAGAAGAGGAGGCCACCCCTCAGAGGCAGAGCCCAATCACCATAGCTGCCCAGTGTGATAGAAGCACTGGGTGCCAACAAATGCCAGAAAAACACATAATACAGAACTTAAAACACAACACAGATAAACCACCACAGAGTTGGGAAATTGTGAGAATCTGTCAAGAAATCACAAAAGGTTAACATGAAAAAACTTCTATGAGGGGAAGCCTGAAAAACTGACTAGTAACCCAAAGCACAGACACCTACCATCCTCTAGCTGAGGGGTGGGATCAGCCCAGCTCTGGGATCCATTCCACACCACCACACCTCTGCCCATCTGTCCACTCTTGCATCTCCTTGGTGTGAAATGCTTGTTTTAAACAAGGAAATTTAAAATGCCAACTGAGATGCTAATTCTCTGTACCTGGTGATGGCCCAGATCCCTATCTAGAAGTTATGCTCTACAACTGCCCAGTAAGCTGCAAAATTACAAAATAAAGATAAAGGCAGTAACTGTCACCCAGGGACACTGAAGGCAGTTTCCCTCATCCTCCCAAAGAGATAGCTGCCTATGTCTGAGGCTGAGAAGGTATGTCCCACTACTCTTCTTTGGTCACATGCTGCATGTAAGCTAAGGCCTTCAAGGTACAGTCCCACCACTACGGGGTCTTAGTGCTCAGCCAAGTCTTGGCTTGTACCTGGTGACAGGAATCCTGTGCTGGGTCATAACTTCAACTGCTTTTGCTTCTACCTCTGCCAAGGTGAAAGATACCCCTCATCCTTCTGGGCCAAAACCACAAGGCTCTGGGACATGTCTCTACTACTGCCACCTCCTCAAGTCCTAGACATGATATCCCTGCCTCTCTTACGACCCTATACAATGTTCTGGGGTCTGGACATCAGGATACATGCACGATCCTGTCTGCTTGCCACCTGGAGTCACTTGCACCTTTACAGATAGGTCACCAGGTATCTGTGGGGCTGTCAGTACGTTCCCTCTTTTCTTTTCTTTTTTTTTTTTTTTTAAAAAAGATTTATTTATTTATTTTATTTATGAGTACACTGTAGCTGTCTTCAGACACATCAGAAGAGGGCATTCCATTACAGATGGTTGTGAGCCACCATGTGGTTGCTGGGAATTGAACTCAGGACCTCTGGAAGAGCAGTCAGTGCTCTTAACCGCTGAGCCATCTCACCAGCCCACGTTCCCTCTTTTCAAAGGTCAAGATTGGATACCACTCATGTACCAACAGCTACAGAATCCCACATCCCAGGTCCAGCTTGATACCATAGCACCCATTCTCCCAGACAGTGTGCACCCCTTGCCTGGTTCTTAGATGGGATGCTGGCCCACTGATAAAGAACCAAGCATGTGGCCACACATGGTGAAGAGGGACAAGTTGCTTGTCATTCCACCGGACACGTAAAGCCTCATGAGCACACTGCATAGACACCTCATGCCAACACACAGCTCCTTATTTCCAGTTCCTAAGTGGGCAGGTGGCAGCACCCTCTCTAGTTCTTTCTTGACTGGCTGCTCTTAAGAGGAAAGAAAGGTGAACTGCACTGACCACACTGTTCTCCATGGGCTGATGCCTGATGCCTTTAAAAAGGTGTCCTCGAGACCAAGAGCACTTGCCTGAAGTCCCTGAGGTACACTTACTATGTCATCTTATGTGAGTCTGCCCAACAGGTTCAGCAGTCACTTGGCCAGGCCTTTGGCACGGCATGAAACTGCAGCTTACACAGGCAGATGCAGCCGTAGGAAAGAGCTTCTCCACCTCTCCATGTTAGCCAACTCTAACAACTATAGGTCAGCTATTTAGGAAAAATATTTCCTCAGAGTGCCATGTCCTGTGTACAAGGCAAAGCCAACCCAGAGCCTTGGATATCAACACCAAATACCAGTGCCACAACTGCCACATTTAACTGCCTGGTTGAATGTTCTGTGAAAGGCTGGGTTCATTTCCTTCCCTGGCGTATCAATGACACCCCTACTCCACTCCTCTGGGCTCCTGATGAGAACACCCCTGACCCTTCTGTTCAGTATAGTGGCTGCAGACGGTCAAAGAACAAACAGTTTGCAAGCCCCATGGCCTCCAGTACAAACAGCTTCTCTCCACTAGCAGACCGGCAAGGGGACTGCCCTTCACTTTCCCACTCCACCTCTACTACAACCAGACACCCCAGCTGCTCACTGTCCCCTGGCAGGGTAGCCCTTCAGAGTCCTGAGGATTCTGGCACATCAGACTACAGGTCACAGATGCCTGCTAGTCGCTGTCCCTCTTGCTGCCTCTTCCAAGCAGGGAAAAGCAAGCCCTACTTGCACTGTCTCCAATGGATAAAGACAGAGATCCACAGACGTTATTCACTCTGAGGATAATCAGCAGAGCCTGGGCAAGTAGGAAGCTGTGCTGTGAACAGGGCTGACTGTGGAAAAGAAGAAAAGGCCAGCTTACAGAAGCTAGGAATGCTTGCTACTTGTTCCTCCTGGGGCTATGGATGCAAAGGTAAACGAGCCAAAGTGCTAGCACCAAAAAGAGCACCATGAGAAAGTGGGGCAAAGACAGAAGAGCAAGCCACACTAGAAGAGTGAATCCAAAGAACATAGAACACGCGTAGAAATTCAGGGGAGAACAGAGTATTTCAGGAATTTCCAGAGGGGAACAAGTGGGGCGGAGGACGCGCAGGTGTGCTGTGTGGGCGGGGCACTGGGACATGCAGTAGAGCGGGACTCAGAGGCTGAAGTGGAAACCTGGGAAAGGCAGAGAGAGCCCAAGCTGTACACCAGGAAGAATGAAGCCTGGGTAGCCCAAGGAGGGGAGTGGTGGAAAGATGGCAGGGGCTGAGGAGTGCACAGACAGCAGAGTCTCAGTGCAAGAGACCAAATGGAAACTAAGCCTAACAGACTGGGTCTGAATTACAGCAGAGGACTGGAAGGCATGCTAGAGACCGGCAGTGACCGGCAGTGCCTTGCCAGCCAGCCACAGAAATAAAAAGGCTATTTTTCCAGCTTGCACAATTGTTCCCTTCATGAAGAGAGGAAATATGGGGCCAGGGACACCTTGTAAAGGTGGGCTGAGACCAATGGCCACTGGGATATGCTGTAACACCAACTAATCTGTTCAGCAGCCCTGAGAAAAGCGCCCATCCTTCTCAGTGCCTTACTTGGGTGCAAAAATCCCATAGTACCCCTGTCTCACCTGCATCCAAATGTTGTCTGCAGCAATGTAGTGATTCCCACGCAGAAGAAAATGGTCCCGATGAGCTGGCTGGTGGCCCACTGGTCATCCCCCACGCACATGGCATCAGCCAGCAAAAAGGGTACCGCGATTGTGCCACTGAAACACGTCAGGTAGTGCTGCTCGAGGAGAGAGAGACAAGGGGAAAAGTAAACCTGCCCTTGCTTTTGCTTGATTTGCCCCTAACACTGGTGCCCTGGTGTCTTTAGGACATAAGGATCACATGAAGAATCTCTAGTGACACGACTTACACATTCTGATCACATGTTCAGCCATTTTGTAACATTCCTTTCCCTATTACCCTGTCCTATGACATCACTGACATGAGTTCACATGGGTACAAAGGAAGTTCTCAACAGAAGTTTGCAGAAGTTTAGATATTTCTTACTAGACATACCTACTTTTGTCCCCACTAACACTTGTCCAGTATGCTAAGTACACTGTGCTGAACAACTCTTGCAGTCTTCAAAGAGACCCTCGTTAGGTCTACTCTAGGGCTTGATTTGATAAGGTCTTGTTTTGCTCATGTTTTATGGAGCCAGGGTCTCACTTTGGAATCCAGTGTGTCAAACTCACTATATGGCCCAAGCTGATCTCAAACCCATAATCTCCCTGCTTCGGCATCCTGGTATCCAGGGATAACAAATGCACCAAATCCCACTGAGATGCTCATATTTTACATCTGCATTCCTAAGATATTAGTCTGTGGGGTTCTTTCATTTGCTTTTAGCCCTCTTGGGTCTGGGGATTATACCATAGTGATTTTATAGCAGAAAGCATTTTCTGCCTTGCTCTGTGGTCTGGCCCCCTTGGGCAGATATTCACTCTCCCTCTAAGTACCCCATCCTCCCTCTCCCGTCCCCTGAAGATTGTTCCAGCACTCACAATTCATTTCCCTTCCTCCCCCTAATTTTCTAGTTCTTTACTTCTGTTCTGTAAACTTCCTCTTTTTCTTCCCGACAGTTCTCACTTCTGCCCAAGTCAGAGAAGCACACTGACTGCAGCTCAAATGTTCAGGTGTGTTCTGTTGAAAACTCCTCAATGCAGTGTACAATGTACTGTGTATTGTTAAGAACAAGGAGGCAAAAGAGTTGTTACTCCCATTCTAAAAGAGTTGTCACTCCCGTTTGACTAGAAACATCTATAACAGATGAATCTGAGAAGTGCGCCTGTTATATTAGGTCCAGGGCACCTGACCCAAGTTATTCACCAAGCCCAATCAGCCCTCCAGGTGCCAGATGAGGAGGAAAGCCCAAACAGCCACCAGTGGGGTCAGACACAGTCCAGCTTCAAGTAGGCATAGAGTCTGAGTAACAAGACTGACTTTTCCACACCTGAGAAACCTGAAGGAAACTGATCACACAAACTTGAGCAAGGAAGTGTGGAAATTCAGACCTCAAAACAGGGTCTAAACCCAATGCAGGAGTCAGAAGGCAGGTAGTGAGGTCAGTAAGGAGAGAGCACTCCCACATTTCTCAAAAGCCACCTTAATCCTGTGAGCAGGACAGGGGTACTGAGGACAAGCGCCAAAATCACAGTAGATCTGTCTATTGTCAGCAGACTAAGGCTGGGAGGCAGCAAATTTCCCTTCCTTTAAAAGACAATAAAGCCTCCCCTCATTTCCTGGCCCTGATCACTATCCTGGATCACTAAGGTCAGTATGGGAGCTCAAGGCTACTGATCCCGATCTGTTTCTGCTTTCTTCCCTCCCCTACTCCGCTTCCCTGCAGTCACAAACACGCACACCACGGCATCACTTCACTCCCTGAGCATTTACTCCCCAGTTCTTTTCTTCTTCCTGCTGTTCTGAAATTAATGTTGAAAATTCTTTTAGTTAAGATAAAACCTGGAGACTAGAGAGCTGGCTCAGCAGTTTAAACATATGTATTGTTCTTGTAGGAAACTGGAGTTCGGTTCCCAGAACCTCCATCAGGCAGTGAGACTCCAACACCTATGGCCTCCATAGCCACTTATAGTCAGTGACGTGCCTACCTACACATAATACACAGAACTAAAAATAATAAAATAAAAAATAAACATTGACTATCTTGAAAATTTAGCCAGCCAGTAGACAGTACAAGCTCTAGGCCAAAGGTCACACACCCTAGATGAATCATCTTACCTGCAACCCCAGGAATATGCACAAGTACCAGGGAGGAACATCTTCTATAGTGTAGATCATATCTGACCTCTGAGGATCCAGGCTCCCAGTGCTGTCCAGGGTCTCTGCAAGAGAGCTCTGGAGTTGAGAGGAGAAGAGGAGTTAGTCACTGCCCGGAACGATGTTAGCTCTGTTTGATTTCAGCACAGCCCTCTACTGCCCAAAACCACCTTCTGCTGGTGTAGCCATTCTGTCCTTTGAGCACCTCAGAGGGCTAATTCTCAGAGTGAGGGCTCTGCCTCCCATGACATTGCCTCATTCCCAAGAGCACCAACCCTGACCAGAGCCTCTGCCCAAGACTAATAACTTAAATCTTGGTTTCAGCTTTATTTATTAAAAAAAATTTCTAATATTTTATGTGGCAGTAAAGATTTTTAAGATGTTAGGTATTGCATGCTTCTAAAGGTCAAGATCACCAAGATAATTTAACTCAGCCTAGCAATTATTCAGTCTTGACATCAGCTAAACAGATGGCTTGAAGAAACCCTGTCAATCTTTCCATGGAGTCTTAAAATTGCTCTAGTATCTAAGACCCTGAAAATAATTCATTGTATTTCTTAGAATCTGAGGTGCATATCTTTGATGGTTGGAATGCGATGTTCCCCATAATCTCAGACATTTGAATACCTGATTCCCAGTTAATGGCTGTTTGGGGAGGACTAGGAGGCATGGCTTTGCTGGAGGAAGTACCACTGGCAGGCTTCTCTGCTTCCTGTTTGTGGTTTAAGATTTGAGCATTCAGCTGCCTGCCTGCTGCCATGCTCCCTGCAGTGATGGTCATAGAACCATAAGCTCCAAATAAACCTTTGTCACAGTATTTTACCACATTAATTAAAAAGTAACTAACACAGTATGTATTTTTTAAATATTTTCTAACCTAGCAAACAAAATAATAGAAAACAAAATGAAAATGTTCCACAAAAAATGGCTAGAAATAATATGACCCTGCAGCCCATGTCTGATGGATCTAGCCCACAGGGAGATGCTGGAGCCATGTCTGATGGATCTAGCCCACAGGGAGATGTTGAAGCCATGTCTGATGGATCTAGCCCACAGAGAGATGCTGACTCCATGCCCTGTTGCTTAGTAGTCCTTGAAAGGGAGAAGCCTTGGCTGCAGCAGCTCTTTGTGAACTAGTATATGCTAGTTTGCCTAATGAATGCCCCTGAAGGTCCATGTGAAGCATTCATCAAAGGTGGCAACAGCCTAAGAAATCATGGACTTTTAAAAGATAGATTTTTAGATAACACTCTGGAAGCTAGGGTAGAGAATTGTAAACAAAGGGCAGTTTAAGGGGGGAAAAAAGGCACAGACACAAAGATCTGAGCTCTAGAGATGCATTGTGGGACCCTGCTTTCCCCTGCTCCCTTTCTGCTTTCTGGGTCAGGATGTAAGCATTGGCTCTTATGTGCCATGAGACACTATGGGGTAATGCCCACTAGGGTTGCTTATCTTCTCCTTCCAGAACTTTTAAGCCAGAATAGAACTCTCTTTACTTCATTTCACTATAGTCATGCAAAATAGAAAAGTATACAAACATGGTCACTGAAATTTTATTTTTAAAAAATCAATGAACAAGTAAATACACACGTATGTGTGTGTACATATGTAAATGCAAATATGCCTCTATAATCACACATTCACACATACATACATGCTTTGGAATGCCAGTTTGGGATTTTAGATAGCCACCTTAGGTACACTTAGCTTGTATTTTTATTCCTATTTAATAGGTGAAGCTGAAACCCAGAGAGTCATGGTAATTTCCTTAGAGTCTGAGTCACCTCTTTAATCAGACTTGACTTTCAGTCCTCAAGCTCTTAACCACTGTTCTCAAACATTTTGGCCAAGGTTTTTACAAATACCTAGATAATGACTCTTAAGAACTTTTAACCTTAATTGCTACTAAGACAATTAAAACCTTGTAATTATGACTCTTCCATTACAAAACAAACATATAGACAACCCCACATCCCCGGGAAGGTATGATGTCCCAAACCAAGAGACACCCCTGGCTCTCCAGAAACAGAGTCAGGCAGTAGGAAGGGGTGAGCATGGGTACCTTCTCGGCAATGCCATTCTCTGTGGTGTAGATTGCCATGAGCTCAGTGTCTTCGTTGTCCTGCTCTCCACTGGACGTGGCCCCACCATTGATCACCACCTGAAGAGAAAGGCTACAGTGAGTGGGTGTTTCAGCACTTGCCATTCTGCTGTAGGGAAATATGGCTTTTCTAAATGGCCTCCCATAATTCTTAAGAGAGCCCTAAACTGTATATTACATATCACAGCGCCAAAGGTTGTTTTCTTAAACGAAACTGATGTGTATAAGCTAGTTTAAATGGAGAAGTGTGGCGCTTCCCATAGGGTGGAGGAGCTGGGTGAGCCAGAGCCCCCCAGTTAAGACAGAAATGGAACATTCCAAAGAAACCTCTAGCCATAGGATTCTCAACACCCTCCAGGGCAAGGGAAGTGACTGACAAGCCAGTGTTGCAATGCAGGTGACCAGGCTGCTGCTAAGTGGTAGTGTCTAAACTGCTTTGGTTAAGATCACTTCCTCAGGAACCAAGGTAACTGCCTGTCTGCTCTAGAAAGAGGAAGTGTTGCAGTCAGAAGACTATAAGCAGCCTGCTGTGTGTAGCTGCTTAGGTAACTGGGAAGCAGGAGAACCAACCCATCTTGGCATCTATTCAAAGGAGGTCTAGCCCTATGCTATGCATTCTTTGGTGAGGAGCAGCATGATTTATTTGGTTAGAAACAAGAAACAAAGTATTTTCATTCCTTAATCAAATGGCTCCATTCCTAGGGATCTCTTCTAAAGATGTAATTCTAAAACAAAAGAGGTTTTAACTTCAAGAAAGCAAGCACTTTTTAGGTGTAACAGTAACTAGCCATAAACTAATTATACTCAGATACCATAAGAAAAATGGACATTTATGTGTATATAAGTTTGTGGGTGCCTGGGGAGACCAGAATAGGGCATCAGATCCCCTGAATCTCAAGTTGTAGGCAGTTATAAGCTGCTAACCCAGCTTGGGTACTACTGGGAACTGAACCCAAGCCTCTAAGAAACAACTACTCTTAACTGCTAAGCCATCTTTCTAGTCCCAGGAGAGTGATTCTTACTTGGAATATGTTAACATCAAGGAAAACCACCTATAACTTAGCTATAAGTGGTAACAGCAGAATTACATTTTGTTTGTTTTGGGGGGGATAAGGTCTTGCACTATAGCCCAGACTGTCCTGAAGTTCATGATACCCCTGCTTCAGCCTCCCAAGTACTGGCACTATGGATGATGCCACTGTATCTGGCTCCAAACAGTTTTTAAAAATATAGATTAGAGACCAACCAGAGCTACATAGTGAGACCTTGTTTATGAAGTGTGTGTGTATAGATTGTGTTGGTTAGAAGTATATCATTGTAATAAAAATTCCATTTATAGGAATTAGATAGCTCAGTGATTAAAAACAGTGGCTGCAGAGGACCAAGGTTCAATTCCCAGGATCCACATGGGAGCTCACAACCATATATGGATAACTCCAGTTCCAAGAGATCTACAGAATGAGACCCTATCTCAAACACCAGAACCACCACAACAAAACATAGATTAGCAAAAGATAAAGACACAGTTTAAACTCCAGCAATGTGAAATAGAAACACAAAAAAAGAGAACACTGGTAATAGTTTAAGAGAAACTATGCATGTGATACAGAGAAAGGGGGACTCAATCAACAATGTATAGAGAGCACCCCAAATCAACAGGGGGGCGGGAGAGACCTGTATAAGATTAAGCATGAATGGAACCGGGCTTCAGAAGTTAGGGCTGAGAAACATTGGCAGCTGACGGCTGTTGAGACAGGGAAGGTCAATTTTCTTTAGTGGTATGGCCGCTTGTAGGTTGCCTAGGCTCCAGTGGACGGCTCTCCACCAAAGGTTCTCAACTTGGGTGTTGAGATCTCTTTGGGAGTAGACTGACCCTTCACAGGGACTGCACACCAGATATTTATATTATAATTTATAACAACAGCAAAACTACAGTTATAAAGCAGCAGCAAAATAATGTTACGGTTGGGTCACCACACTGTGGGGAATCATGTTAAAGGGTTGCAGTGTTAGGAAGGTTGAGAAGCAGTGCTCTACGCCCATGCATATATTCACAGCAGCACTATCTGAACTCTGTCTAATGGGAAGGAGAGCACGGGATAGAATTGGGAGGAAGAATAAGAAGGTCTGAAAGAAGTAAGTCGTGGTCAGGAAGCTGAATATGATTGAAATACACTGTATATTTGTATAAAATTCTCATCACATACACAAATAAAACTAAGCATAGTGCTGAGTTCAAGACTAGTCTGGGCTGCATAGCAGGAGGCTGTCTAAAGAAAAGGGAGGATGAGGGACAGAGGGAGGAGAGAAAAGAAACTCTGAAGTTCACATGCTGGCAAAGGAAAAAGTCCAAGCAATACTATGTAAAAAAATAATAGTACTAGCACACAAGCCAAGAGCCTCCCCAGCTCTCCATATGCTTGGCAAAAGATCCAGAAACAATGAACTCTGGGTCATGGACAGCAAGAACAGGTCTTTTAACCCTCACTCCTCACACTACCTGAACACCCAGCTCTGTTATACTCAGCATGTGTCCCTGTACTGTCTTCACACTGCCGTCAGAGCAAAGGACAGTGACATGCTCCCATGTAGTAACAGTGGTTGTTAATCAAAGGTTATTTTACCTTCCTTTTCCTTTTACACATCTGGTAGTTTCCTATAGTGAACACAAGTGAGTCATTAAAAAGACTAAAGAGCTAACTAAGCAACATAGTGAGTATAAAGTTCCCTTAGACTGAGGAATTCTAGAGAGATTTCCAATCCACTGACTTTTGTAGCTGATGAAATTGACCCAGCAAAAAATTAAATTTCTCATTTGAAAGTACATAGACCCAAGTCTAAGTTTCAAAGTATGCCAGAGATTTCATCGGGCCTCTAATTTAACACGCTCTAATGGGGTTGAATTTTCTTATATTACTTAAGCAAAGGTCTGCTTTTAAAACTATTTCTATGCAAGTACATGATGCATGCTTATAATCCTAGCTCTACAAAGGCTGAGGCAGGAGGATTGTTGGTCTGGGGCCAACGTGGACCAGAGCAAGACCCTGTCCCCAAAACCAAAACAAGCAAACAAACACACAAAATTCTAAATCACGCTCCAGCTTCTTACATGGACACCTGGTGTGTGACATGGCTGCCTGTGCTGGCTGAGTGAGAGCCATGTTCCCAGCCCAATTCCAGCCTGCACCTGAAGCTGCAGCATTGCACACTGCACCACTGCAGCACTCAGCACTGCAGCACTGCAGACTGAGAAGCAGGGAGACACCTGGGCAGGACGAGCTTTCCCAACATAACACAAAGCAACCGGAGTGGAGTAACTCATGAGCTAAGGCTGCTCTGCTCTGTGGGAACAAGGGTGCTTGGGAACTAGATGGAGGTAGTAGTTACACAGCACAGTGATCATATCATGTCTCTGACAACTTTATGTTATACATACTGTACCTCAAAAAAACTTTTTTGAGATAGGTTCAAAGTGTAGCCCCAGCTAGCCTTACACTCCTGTGCCTCTCTAGCCTTGGCCTTCTGAGTGCTGGATTACAACAAAGTAGCACCACTGTAGCCAATCTCACTAAACTTTAAATTTTTACATGGTACCAAAAAACAGATTTTGGCAAGAGTTCACAATTCCAACTGCTCTTCTGACTCTTTCTATTCATATACACTCAACAGACACTCCCTGAACTACACAAAAGCTCAGATGCTTATTTAAATGATCCTAGCTATGTCCCAGGCAAACAAGACTCAATCCTGATACTCTACAGGATGCCCATCGAGCGAGCGTGAGCACCAGGTGTCAGGCTAGGAAATTCTAGCTTAACTCAGGAGGCCTTGGGGAGGCAGGAGGGGAGGCCAAGCACAGCCACTGAAATGCTTTTGAAGCTTTATAGAATTGGTTCTGATCTGCGCTAATAATGTGGCTTGTGGGGTGGCTGAGGAAGTGGCTCTGAGCGGAGCTGACGTTGAGCTAAATGTGGGCCACTGGATGAAGAAGGCCTTGCAGGGCATCTATCTGGGCATACTGGTTCTATATTACAGAGGTAAGAAACATAAAACATTTGAAGTTCAGTCCCCAGCACCCACACAGTCTTGTACCAGGGGATCCAGGCACTGCCTATATGTGATTCACAGACATACATGTAGCCGAAGTATCCATACGTATAAAATACAGGATTAAAACAAAAGGAAGGAAAATGGTTGTGTGCTGACCCAGTTTCAAGAGGCTGTGTCTAGTGTTTTGCCTGAAGAGTCTGGGGCTATGGAGAGCAGCTCATGATTAGAGACCTAGCTAAGCTGGCTTTCACAGACAATCCACTCTATTAACTACATACTATCTATTAATTGCATTCACGAACAGATTATCGATTCAAAAGGGCAGAGCTCTAGTGTTCTCTTAAAAGTCCCACCTGGTACCATCTTTTCATATTTCCTAATGGGGATTAAATTTCAAGATGAGATTTGGAGGAAACAGACCACACTTGAGACCACAGCAGGCAGCCCTAAATCAGTGCTTGTAATCCTCACTTTGTAGAGAAGGTGTGAAAACTTGTGACTCAAGGGCTTGGTATGTGCCAGACACATTAGCCATCCTTACTGCCATCCACCCCTCTCTATGTAAAGCCGGATACAGCCTACAGTTTCACTGTGGGTGGGGGACAGCCATGTCACAAGTAGCATTAAAGGAGCAGGTGAGATAAAACCCAACAGGAGCACCCAGTGTAGACCCAGATGAGAGGAGGAAGAGCCCATGATTCCCATGGCCTGGGAACTCTTGCTGTAGTAGCTGCTACTGCAGCAGGCTTTGTTTGAATGTGGCCACTAGAGTGTCGCAGAGAGCTCTACAGGACTGTAAGAACAGAGGCTTTAAGACAAAAATTGCAATATAGAATGGGGAAAAAGAGCAAGAGATCCCAGTGCTGGCTAAGGAGCTGCTGGCTTTGGATGGCTGCAGGGAGAGTCAGTTTTCCTTATGACCTTATGACTTGAGTCCCAGGAGGTCAACCACACTGCAGCAGTCAACTCCCAAGACAAGCTGGACAACACGAACTGGACTCAATGGGAAAAGAAAACAAAAAGGAAATCTCAGAGTTGGGTAGGAAGGGATAAGATGACTTGTGGGGAAGAGGGATGAGTATGTTCAAATTACATTTGTAGGAAATTCTCAAAGTATGAGAGAGAGAGAGACAGAGAGAGAGAGAGAGACAGAGAGAGACAGAGAGAGAGACAGACACAGATGGGGGCGGGGGGGGGGGGGGGGGAAGGCTTCCTGTATTAGCTATCTGTATCAGCCAGCTTCAGGTAGCTAATGTATGTTAGGTCTGAACTACATCTCTTAACAGTACAGTTTTGGGGAGAAATTGAAGATTCTCTCCAGAACACAGTAAGCACTGGAATGGTTTTTAAACATTAATAGCAGTATGTACTTCCTTCCTGGGTTAACTCAAGCAGGTCCCCTGAGGCTGGCTAAGAGTATGGCCACTATAACATCATGAGAGACAGTTGATTTTCAATGCCACGATGGTCACTGAAAATACAAGTGTTAAAGTGTGCCCTACCTATACTCCAGAGAGGAACTGGAAGGCAGGATATACTCTTACCGGGAGAGTAAAGAAATTGGGGTGCTTAGCTTCCTCTTCATATTTGCCTTCTGTGGAGCCCCCAGCCTCCACTGATTTAGATGCCGTGTTCTTGCCGATACCCATCATCAAGGAAGATTAAGCAATCTACACAACTGTTGGCCTGGAGTGGTTACAGGGAAGGCTGACTCAAGCCAGGAGTTTAAGACCAGAGGGAGCTCTTCAGCGCCTGGAACACTGGATTCTCAGATAGACGTTACTGTCATCTCTTATCACCTGTGAAAGACAGTACAGGAGAGTCAGAAAGACAACCAGAGACTCAGAGTCATTAAATTAGGCAAATACAAGTTGCACCCAAACAACTGACAAGACACCAATGCTTTTCAAGAACCCACCCTCTTTACTATAGTCAGCTACCATCACCCTGGAGAAAGAAAGAAAATGGTATGTCAAAATATTAGAATACTAGGAAGAAAAAAAAACAGCTAAGTTATTCCTATGATGTGCATTAACCCCAAGCTACTGGACAGAACGTTTTCCAGTGATGAAAGCATTCTCAACCTGTCCGCCCAGCTGATATCACTAGGCACCTGGCACTTAAAAAGTGGCTGTGCCAATGCAGAAGTGAATTTTAATTAACATTTAAGGCAATACAGATAATTTGTCGCAAATAAAAGGTGACTTAAATAATTCTAAATCCCCTACCTATGCTATGGAAGGCAGAAGACATTTAACATACAATAAAAGACAAAAATAACCTACAATTACATGGCTATGCAGAATTCAAGCAAAGCAACAACAGCATGGATTCTCAATTAGTTAGAATGGCACAAAATGGGAGTCAAAGCATGCAATGATTAACTAGGTAACATAAGTAAGCTTCAAAAAAAAAAAAAAAACCAGGGCCTCCCTCCACCTCCCCTAAAGTGAAGGTACACAAGGCATAGGAAGAGAGAGATCACCACTACTAAATCTAAGAGGGGTATGACAAGGCTGAAGAATCTAAGAGATCGAATTCAACAACAACAACAAAAAACTCAACATCCCAAACTTGGGGGGGGGGGGGGGGGAGGGGGGGAGGGAGGGAGGGAGGGAGGGAGAGAGAGAGAGAGAGAGAAAGAATATTCAAAAGCACAAAGATCTTGCAACAATTAGGCAGACACTTCAAAAGAGAAAAAAATTAAAACAATTTCAAACCACGAAACATAACCTGGACAATACAGCTAATCCACCTTGGATTAGCAAACATGCGAAAAACTCGTCTTCAAAGATGAGAAAGCACAAAGCACACAAGGGCTGGCACGTGAACAACACGACATGCCCAGGTGTGCCTGACTTTGTATGAAGCAAGAGTAACAGGAGCGGGCGGGGGCGGGGGCAGAGCACACACAGCGTGCTTACTATTAGAGCAAGCAATGCGGGATCTTCCCTCCAAGAAGGAAAAATCTAACCAAACTAAAGGGTGTGTAAAAAGCAAGTAGGAAACTTTCTTTTCAAAGACTTCTCCATTTGGGATGGGTAAGAAAAGGCTCAGACAGCGAGAGCAGAAAGGGACAGCAAAGCACACAGCAGCTGGCATACCACACTACTGCTACTACTACTACTACTACTACTACTACTACTTCTTCTTCTTCTTCTTCTTCTTCTTCTTCTTCTTCTTCTTCTTCTTCTTCTTCTTCTTCTTCTTCTTCTTTAAATTAACTAAGTTTTAAATGTATGTGTCTAGGTGTTCTACCTTCCTGTATGTCTGTGCTGTGTGCATGCCTGCTGTCTGGAGGCATCAGATCCCCAGGACCCGAGTTACAGGTGATTGTTAGTTTCCAGGTGCTGGGAGAGAAGGTAGTATTGTTAACCACTGAGACATCTTCCAGATCCCAAAATGCATTCAAGAAGAACATAGAGAATCCAAGACACCTATCAAACCTTCCTGAAGTGAAAAATACTCATTTACATTCGTATTGTATCCACATCTACTTAAACAGTAGTCCTTAACAAGGCTGATTTTGCACTCCAATGGCAATATTTGTATTTGGCCTGAAGTGGAAGAGAGCTGGTTATTTAGGAGGAGGAAGCAGGGCTGACAGGCACCCTCCAATTCACAGACCACACTCTGAGGAAGGCTTTGGGGAAGAGGCACAACAAATGAATGTGGCATGCATGGCCCTCAGAGACAGCCACAAGGTCAGAAACTGTGTACCAACAGAAGATCAATGACTTCACCCGCACATGAAGCTGTTTTGCATAGGAAATGTCAAGGTCTGGGGGAAATGCAAAAAGTTGAAAGGGAAGAGACAAGGGCAGAGAGAAGTTTAGGGACTTGTTCAAATTTCTGATGTCACGTGACCAGAGAGACAGCCAAGTGGTTAGGTTAAGATCCAAGTTTTATTCCCAGCTCCTAATTACCTGTGACTTTAATTAGAGACTCCAATGTCATCTCTGACTTCTGTAAGCATTGCATTCAAGGTTACAAGCCCACACTCAGGCACACGTGTACATAATTTAAAAAATAAGTAAATGAATGAATGAAGAAAAGAGAAAGAAAGTAAGAAAGAAAGAGAGAGGGGGGAGGGAGGGAAGGAGGGAGGGAGAGAGGAAGGAAGGAAGGAAGGAAGGAAGGAAGGAAGGAAGGAAGGAAGGAAGGAAGGAAGGGCGGGCCAGTGTATACCTTTAATCCCAGCATGAGGGAGACAGAGGCATGCAGACCTCTGTGAGTTAGACACCAGTCTAGTCTACATAGTTAGTTCTGAAACAGCCAGAGCTATGTAGACAGACTGTATCTCAAAAAAGCAAATAATAATATATTATTATCATTAGAAAACTATATTTTAAAAATTGTGGGTACCAGAGAGATGTCTTGGCAGTTAAGAGCACTTGCTGTTCTTGCCAAGAACCTGGGTTCAGTTCCCAACACTCACATGTTGGCTCAGAACTGTCTGCAGTATCTCCAATTCTAGAAAACCCAATATCTCTTCTACCCTGAGGGCTTTTGCACACAAGTGGTACATATACATTGTCACAGGCTCACACGTATACACACAAGTAATAAGTCTTAAAGTGTGTGTGTGTGTGTGTGTGTGTGTGTGTGTGTGTGTGTGTCCAGCACAGGGGAAGTTCCCTAATGCATGGTGCCGAGGCTTCTCTTCCTACTCCTTACAGAAGGACAGAGAATGCGCAGGCTACTTGCTGTCTGGCCCGTGACCACTTGATAGAGGGAAGGGTGGTTGAGGGATGATGACGACAGTGACAGTAATAATAGCCACTTTCTATTTGTTAAGTGGCCTTTATGCCAGACACACCATGTAGCTCTTATTACATAAGTAACAATTATTTCTGGTCTGTGATCATAATCTTATTTGATGGAGTGACTGCTGAAACAGAGACCTCCTGGAGCTACTGCAAGGAGATTCATTTTTCAATAAGCAAAACTGATAAAAATGTAATCTCAATACCCCAAAAACTTCTTGAAAGAATGAGCAAGAATGGCTATGAACAGCGCTGGCCACGGTGGCCAGCCACCTAGCATAACGTAATAGGCAGATGCAGAGGAATCTTCAGTTAAAGGCCAGCCTGGACTGCACAGGAAGGTTCTGTCTCAAAAAACAAAAACAAAAACAAACAAACAAACAAACAAAAAAGGCACCGAGTAGATCCTGGGTGGCTGCTCTGCACCCAATCTCACAAAACCCAGAGGAAGCAGGCCTCCCAGGAGCTCTAACCCAGGCAGTATCTTAGGTAAGGAGACAGCAACACCCGCCCCAAACGGAATAACTGGGACCCACTAGGACCCAGGAATTTACTCCTGGCCCGGATCACTGGTTCCTTCCGGGCTGGTCCAAGCACTGAGCAGATCTTGGGACCCAGCTCTAACCCTAGTAGTAACACCCACTCCACACAGTTCTGAAACAACCAAGATAATAGGAAAGACAGAGACAGGGCAGGTAGCACTAAGGAGATCCAGATGGCAAAAGGCAAGCGCAAGAACACAAGCACCAGCAACCCAGGGTACTGGGCATCATCAGAACCTAGTTCTCTCACACTAGAAAGTCCTGAATTCCCCATATCACCAGGAAAGCAAGATTCAGATTTAAAATCACTTCTAATGATGATGATAGAGGACTTTAAGAAGGACATAAATAACACTCTCAAAGAATTTGAGGAGAACACAGGTAAACAAGTAGAAGCCCTTGAAGAGGAAACACAAAAATCCCTTAAAGAATTACAAAAGAACACAACCAAACAGGTGAAGGAATTGAACAAATCCATCCAGGACATAAAAATGGAAGTAGAAACAATAAAGAAAGCTCAAAAGGATACTACTCTGGAGATAGAAAACCTAGGAAAAAAATCAGGAGTCATAGATACAAGCATCACCAACAGAATACAAGAGATAGAAAAGAGAATCTCAGATGCAGAAGATACCATAGACAATATTGACACGGCTGTCAAAGAAAATGCAAAATGCAAAAAGTTCTTAACACAAAACATCCAGGAAATCCAGGACACAATGAGAAGACCAAACCTAAGGATAATAGGTATAGATGAAGAGTGAAGATTCCCAACTTAAAGGGCCAATAAATGTCTTCAACAAAATTATAGAAGAAAACTTCCCTAACCTAAAGAACGAGAAGCCCATAAACATACAAGAAGCCTACAGAAAGCCAAATAGACTAGACCAGAAAAGAAATACCTCCTGTCACATAATAATCAAAACACCAAATATACAATACAAAGAAAGAATATTGAAAGCAGTAAGGGAAAAAGGCCAAGTAACATATAAAGGCAGACCTATAAGAATTACACCAGACTTCTCACCAGAGACTATAAAAGCCAGAAGATCCTGGACTGACATCATACAGACCCTAAGAGAACACAAATGCCACTATACCCAGCAAACTCTCAATTACCATAGATGGAGAAACCAAGATATTCCATGACAAAACCAAACTTACACATCTTTCCACAAACCCGGCATTACAAAGGATATTAGCAGGAAAGCTCCAATACAAGGAGGGAAATTATACTCTAGACAGAGCAAGAAAGTAATCCTCTTTCAACAAATCCAAAAGAAGATAGCCACACAAAGATAATTCCACCTCTAACAACAAAAATAACAGGAAGCAACAATCACTATTCCTTAATATCTCTTAACACCAATGGACTCAATTCCCCAATAAAAAGACATAGACTAACAAACTGAATACGTAAACAGGACCCAGCATTTTGTTGCATACAGAAATCCACCTCAGTGACAAAGACAGACACTACTATAGAGTAAA